AGCTTCTCAGCCACTCCCGCAAAGTTGGGGTAAATTTTTATCTTCCTACCTCCTTGAAGATGTCAAAAATCTCAGCACCCAGAATTATATCTCGATGATGAATATTAATAGTATCAAACTTTCGATGAAGAGCGTTTGCGAATCCTGTCAGAAAAGTGGTGTTGTATTAGGAACCGCCGAATATAAGGGAGGTGACTCGTTTAGCTTTTATTTTCCTCGACCTTTTAACCTTGAGAGTACACCGAAGTAATTAAATTTCGAGTATATTGAAATGTGATACCTCAATCTTTATATAATTCCCCCCCTCCAAATTTAAAGCCGTTAATTTCTTTATTCAAAGTCACAACTTCGAAAAGTGCCAAGTATCAAACTTGCTGTTTGCAGATCCGGAAATGTTTGCATGCATACCAACTCTGGGACGCCTTCATGTACTCGTATAAATATTAATTGCCAGCAGAACAGGTCTCAATGGATATCACCAGCACTTGCTAGAATTTATGTAAATCACATCACATCAAAAGTGGTCAGATTCACAGCCATTTTATACAAAAAGAAGATATTGCAATTACAAATATTGAAAATCTGTAGAAGCGGAAAAAATGTTTTTATTCACAGCCCCATACAGGACTAAACCTAGCCAAATTCACAAATCAATTGTATGTCATGCCGTGAAGACGCCAATTCATCCATACCAAAAACCTTCCGACCAATATGATGTGTGTCTATGTGTGACCGACGACAGAAATCCCATGTGCTAAACTCCTCAAACACCTTGCATAATGTACTCTGCTCAAGTATGTACTCAAAAGTCATATACCAATCCCTCGTATTAACAGTTGCACCCATTTCCTCGACTCAAAATGGCGGGGTAATTTATTTCTTCGTAGTGCTATCACTATCATCCCCTGGTCTCGAACTTGTGCTTCCTACTACCGTTGGACTACTCTCGCCATCGTATAGAGGATCATAGTCTTTATTTCCCGACCTCAAACCCGCACGTTTGTTTCTTGGTGTTCCTGGTCTAGTGTTTTTATGAGCTTTTGCTGAAACTTCATCATCTTCCTCCCCGTCAGACTGAATTCCATCGCTGCTTCCGCTCGGATCAGCATAGCGACCGTCTCTTCCCTCAAGATCACTGTCGCTATCTTCATCTGGTATAAGCTCATGATCAGGCTTCTGATTCTTAATGAAAGAATCAATGATGTAATATTGAGTTGCATTCATGATGACCGGGAAGATCAACATGACGAATATCACTTGTAGTGCTTCATCACCCTCTGTCCATCTCAGTGCCCAGTCTCCAATTCGTGAAATCCAAGGAAGGACAAGGAAGATGATGAGCACGCATATTTTCATACCCATCAAACCGATGAAATAAATTATAGATTGTTTGAACCACCAGAATGCTTTTGGTGGGTGGCCATAATTGCCTGATTCGATGGACTCGGGAGGATTGCCAAATGGTGTCATGACAAAAAGCGAAGTAAGTATTCGAAGGAGAAATATGAGTATCGGAATGCCGATGGTTGTCTGGAGTCAAAGATTAGTACATATTGAAGTATCATATCATAGACGAATACACTTACATCAATAGCCAAGTTCAGTAAATAGAAGCTGCAAGGATTTGGCTTATATTGCCCAGAATCATCCACCATTCTTTTTGCGACATTGCTGGCGTCCAATTTAATACTGAATTGTCCGCTCGATAACATACTCATCAACAAGTTTGCGATGTGAACCAACACACTTCCAACCACTTGTTTCGAAACATCAAAGAACCAAATTTTCACAGGTCTCTGGGGCCGTTCTCTCCATCTTTTGAACACTAATGCCATCACAGCCAATAGACCTAACGAACCCTGAACCAATATGGCAAAATTTCCAAGGAGTTGGCATTCTCCAGTGTCTGAATCTGGGGAATCGTCATCTTTTGCGGTGGCGAGCATTGTCGCTGTTGTAGATGTTGGATTCACGAGATCGAGCAACAATGCCGAAGAAGTTGCTATTGCAGAGGATATAATGGAAGTGGGAGAGATATCGTTGAGGAGAGTTGATGTTGATGTGGGCTCCAAGCCCGGTGGCGGTAGCATTAGCTGTCTTGTACGACGACCGTCGATATTCTTGAACGTGTATGGGATATAAAAGGTGTGCAGTGATATGTAGAACTAATGAGTGCTCGTCTGCGAAACCCTGGTAGTATTCTCTAATTGAAAATGGAATCAATATCGACAGTTGAATGTCGTGATGTTTGTAATGCCCGCAAACAGGGACTCTCTTAAGGTTATCTTTAGAGATGTGATGAGTGCGCAATGACCTCACTAGGCGAAGCAGATTTTATGGGAATGACAATTTATTGATTGATGAGTAACGGAAACAATCAACAATAACATGCAACAATGACTGATATATCTGAAAAGTATAAGACAATATGAAAGCAAAAATGTATGCAACAACACGACACAACACAGCGCAATAAAGATCTGAAATCAAGGTTATTTTCCAAGCTGATGATCAAGTGGCGGCTATGTTGAAGAGGATGTGAGTGTGAGGCTTGGATATTCTAGGCTGGGACAGCATACCAGATTTTCATCCTGTGAGCACAATTTATTCTGCTTATCCCGGTTTGATATCAAATCAAGCATTTTGCTACGCTCGTAACCATAAAATTAGAGTTTCATATGTCTCAAATATAGTATTTCTTCTCCACACGAATGGGTTAACTTTGGACTTTATTCAATACTTTATTATCGCTTGTTGTCTATGAGATGATGGGAGGGGAAATGCCATTTGATCTCCAAATTTCAGAATACCCCTTTTACTTTGCCGTTCTTACATTTGATCCAACGACGGAGTGCAGTGGATGAGTCGGCGGCTTATATTGGAATGATGTGAAACATAAGATGCATGGTTCCTTGTCTCAAATACCAGGAGCTTCTTCGTCAAGCAAGGAGTCAAACGGTCGAATAGCCGCATTGGTGAAACTGTTTGATCCGATTTTGAAAGGTTGTCGGGTAAACGGAAACAAAACTTGTGACTTTGGAGATGTCAGATTGGAGATGGGGTTTCCATGTCACCCACGAATGAATAGAGTTACGAGGATGGATTTGGCACTTGAAGATGGGATTGCCATCTCAGCAATGAGTGAAGGGAAAGCGAGATATCTGCACAGCAGGTACTACAGTATGCGGAACACAAGAAAATCTCAATATGACTGAACGGCACACATTCAGAGCACAAAGATCCGATACTCAGAACACAAGTTCTCATCTCAGTAAGGTATGAGCCCCTCATAATCATTCGTCAATCATTCATCAATCACCATCAAATCCCCATTCTAAACCGGCCGAACATCCATTTGTCCCTCTCTCCATACACCTCCATACACCTCACAACCAACATAAGCAAGTTTCCCATCGCCCATCACCGAAATCCATTGCACGCATGCATATCCAAACGCTCAATCAACCCATCGCAAGCCATCCCATCCCATCCCATCCCATCGCCGTCCCGAACAAAACCCTCCCACAAACTCAACCACATCGCGATATACCGAACCCTCCAATCGCCCCTTCCCATATACAATCGATCTACTTAGCACTTGGGCATTTCTGCAAATAAAACAATTAGCCTCCTATTCATCCATCCATCTCCTCTTCCCTCCCCTCCTCTCCCCTCTCAATTCCTTACCTTTCCACAGCTGCAAACATAAGTATCCTTATCCGCGCCCTCTGGGTACGCAACACCACAGCTACACGCCAAACCGCCTTGGTTAACGAAGATTTGAAGACCCTGCATATTGTTCTTGTTCTTGTTCTTGTTCTTGCTATTGACTTTCGACTTTGTATGTGTTTCTTAAAAGGCAGGTAGGTGGATAGGTAGATATTCGTAGAATACAAAAGCTTTCGATGTCAAGACCAGATGTGCAGTTTAGAAGAAAGATAGATACTTGATGAATAAATAAATACACTTCTCCGAAGAAGAAAACGCAAGCACCAATAGCAACAAGAAAGAGGGGCAAGCAATCATGCATCCAACCCTCCCTCCCCCTCCTAAACAAATTCACCGAAATCTCTCTCGTCCAATCTCACCCCCTCCCTCCCTCGAGCATCCCCACGTAACATACTTCGTGAATAACACATCCCTTTCTTCCCCATCTATACCCTATCTACCTACCTAGTCAACACCCCTCGACCAATCACCACGCCCCTCTTACCAACCCTCAAATCCTTAACTGTGCCCCGCAACCCAGCGGCAAGGAAGTCTCCGTCTCCGTAGGGAGGGATATCATAATCTTGTGATAAGAATCTCAGATACGCACTACGAGGCCAACCAATCCCAACATCACACATTTTTCCCCATTTCATCCATCCACGCAATTTATGCATATTCGTGCCTCGTGACCAAAGTTTAATGAATGCTCTTTATGCAAGCCAATCACTCATCCGACCGCCCGATATCCGATAGAAGTACGCACGAGCCGTTTAGCATTTGGTCTAGGAATTTATCGTAACACAAAGCAATGTTGCACGAGAATGAGATTTCCACGGAGAAGTCTACGGAGCTCGGAGAGCCTTTACTGGGCATTCCTATTCCCACCTCTATGTTGTACTCGGACTGAGTGTTATACAAGCAAGGTAGAAGGACTAGGCTGACATCGTTGCAAGGCTATATGGAATGATTTTGAGGCAGTGAATGTGTAAAATACGAATCAATAAGGCCCTAATGTAGCAATTTTGCATTCGAAGCAGATGGTAACATGTGCAACAATCAGCATCCAAGAAAAAGGAGAATCAGCCTCGCGAGTTAAATATCGCCCTCCTGAATAGAAGAAAATCACAATCTCAGCAGTAGACGCTCTCCCGTCCCCATTGCATATCGAAATAGTTGCTCTCTTTCCACAAAAGTGTAGGAGAGGAGAATAGTAAGTTAAGTTGTAAAGGGAAAAAATCCATGTAAAAAGCGAGGGTTTTCCTGTCCCTTCAATAAAACAACAACACCCTCTAACGCCTGAAAACCAATCCCCGCACAAGAGCGAGGAAAGAGGTATTACGCCTTCCACCTGCCATCGCTGCACCCTTGATTCCACGATGATGCTCCAAATGTTGATAATTTCCCCCCTTTCCATGCATAGCAGTTGTAGTAGGAGATTTCCTCGTTGTAATTGGTGCAGATTGTGTTCGTCGTGTTTTCTTATTCCTAACATCCTTCGATGGCGAAACATTTCCAACCCTGGATGACGGGCCCATAGACGCTGTAGACTCTGTATTAGATACAGTGTTTGGGCGGTTAGGGGCCCGTCAGATTGTTATTCGATGTTGTTCGCAGTTTTGAGCTGTTCTAAACTCGCTTTGCGAGCAGCGTATGAATCCGATTGATTTGAGTTGGCACGCATCTTTTCCATTTTTTCGGGTTGATGGTAGAGAACTGTTTACCCAAGTGTTAGTACAGGAAAATTCGATTGAAATAGAGACGCGGAGCGCAGACGTACCGACTAGGTATCGATTTTGGAAATTGAACCCATTCAATTTATCGCAGGCAGTCTTAGAATCCGTCACGTCTTCGTAGACAACAAATGCGGTACCTTTCGTGTTGGTAGCAATACCTTGACGAATTTGTCTGGCGCATTGTCAGCACATTCTCCAAGATCGAGCAGGTTCATCTCAATAGAGATTCTTGATGTAGGTCTCGCCTGAGATTGCTGCTTCCATTCCAAATATACATACCGGATCGCACCGAATTTGCCAAACAGATCAAAGAGTTCTTCCGGCGTTACGTTGTAGCTATTATTCCAAATATCATCAGCCCTATGCACCTCAATCTGAATTCCATGTACACCAAATCCACAACCCCATCTCCAAGTCTCCACATCTGCTCTTTCCTGCATCAATCCACATACCTTAGATTCTTGACGAACAAAGCTCTACAATCAGCACATATGTTAGCTATGGATTCTCAACTCTAGCATTGAAGAGCCGGCTCACGCGACCAAATACAGGTACAATGAACAATAAGCCCGGAGAGACATACCGATTAACTTCAGGAGCAAGTTTACCACCTCGATTCATAGCTTGGCTACAAATTCTCTTCTTTCAAACGTTACTTCCGCTTGTCGATTTCTAGTATTATCTTGATTATTGGAGTTAGGTTGATGCGAAAAAAAAAGGTCGTAGTATGGTGTATGTAACCGGAGGGGCGCACAGGTGGAAGCAAGCCTTCTTTTGTTCGTTGAAGGCTCAGGATTCGCGCTAGATTATATTGAGACTAGCGGCGCTACTGCCTTAGAAATTTTTGGAGTCGGTGAGATCTTGATAAGATTAGATCTTGTTGATACCTACTAGGTATGTTGGTAGGTACGATTTAGAAATTGGAAAGAGTTAAAAGCTTTGAACTTCACAAAGCTGGAATTGTTCTACGTATTTATTAAAGAAATGAAAGAGAAGGATCAGATCAATTCTTCTTTTCGTTGGCTATCGTTGGCTATCTCTATGGCCTTCGAATTAACCTTTCGTGTAGCTAGCTATTGGTTAGGCCATCCGCCACATTGCTTGACTTGCTCTGAAAGGGTATTGACTTTACACCGACATCATTCACATTCACAGCCTCAAAGTTAGGTAGTAACAATTTATCTGTTTGCATCGACTTAGGTAGTACTGACGATCCTCATGTTCTATGTGTTACACCTGCAACACATATCTTCATCTCTGCGTGTATGTTATCGATAGACTTCGAATATACACTGAAGTTTTATCAATGTCGTCTCTCTTGACAATCGAGTATAAATTTGCCACTTGAGTTGTCGCCCTTACCAAGGATAACCCTTTTATTCACATGATCTGTGACGGCATCAATTACCTTCAGATGTGGAGATTTCGCTCAGCCTGAGCTTTATACTCAAATTCTCATATCGTGAATACAAGGAAAGTAGCACCGCATGTGCCCACGCAGAGAACCTGCCCGGTGTACCATGGGCCATGTTAAGCCAATATTTGATGTCACAACACGTTATGATACGACCTTGAAGAAGATTAATTTTGTTACTACTTATGTATGCATTTACCATGTTATATATATTTCCTTGAAATCACCCTGCCCTTCCAAAGTTCCATTCTTTTGATATCCACTTATGTGCAGTGATTTGCCTTTATCAACTGTAACCTTAGTTCCCGTGATAGTAAATCGTCTCTCTCCAGGAACCCATCCATTCTCGTCAGCCCATTCTTCTTCTACATCTCTCGTAAACGCAGTTACTCGTGAACAGGCATCTGAATCCCAAATGCCTTCTCGGTAACCGTTAGCTTCCCTGAGAGTATCAATCGCTTGACGTCTTAACTCTCTATTTCGGCAATGTGTTCCAACCATAAACATTGGGAGTATTACGCCAAAGTCAAAGTGATACTTCCCCTCTCCTTGAATGATACGCGGTCGAAGTTTGGCTACATATTCCATGATTGTACCAAACTCTTGAAAATATGCGTCCCATTCAATTGCGTTGACAATGAACACACTTGCTACCTGTATCATCATCATAGCCGCCTGTATTTTAGCAAGGCATGCAGCTAGAAACTCTCGAGAATCTTCGCCAGCGCGTAGTCCTTTGCTTACTAATGGTGCTGCGATACTTTCCCATCGCAGAATTTCATCAAGATAGGTGGTACAATCCCGTCTAAGAGTCGGGTTGGTACTAGGTATGACCGCAACAGAGGTCCATGAACAGTTCTCATCTTTGAGATCTAGCCCTTCATCGTCGGCTGCATAGACGATGGGTTCTTCGTCATCCTTGGGTCGTTCTTCGAGGATGGTTTTTCTTGCTGTCGCTATCCAATGAAAGTTTCTCCGCATTATAATCTGCCACCAGTCATGGCATTCTTTGATACTTGAGAACGAAGAAGGCATTGATAGCAACAAATGATTCAAATCACGAGTTCGCAGCTCGTGAAGCTTTGAGGATCGACGGTCAATCACGCATAGTGCTTGAAGATCAAGATCTGAGAAGGCTCTGCATAGATCATCGTCAATTGTATGATCTTGTTGACAGCTGAAGGGCGGTAGGCTTTTGGATTTCTTGTCGAGCATAATTTCATGGAGAAGATTTTCTCCACTGGCAGCATGAGAAGCTGCTGTTGCAAGATGTCCCTGTATACTTTCGATTGAATACACGAGTAGGCAAGCAATGAGTGCTTTGCGGGCATTGTAAGAGCTTGGGTTCAGAGCTTTCCTCATTCCGACGAGAGCTTTACCATACTGATCGAGGCCATATTGACGATGTAGAAATGCCTCTATACCATTCGCCGTGCGACCTTTACTGAACGCCCCAAGGGCAACCAGAGCTTGGCTAACGAAAGGTTCAGATTCGCTTGCCTGGGGAATCAGCCGCTCCCAGACTGATCGATTAAATAATCTCGCGATATCACTAGCCGATGTTTCGCGGAAATATTGAAAATATCGAGAATCTTGTTCGTTTTCTAGGATGGGACCAACGTGTATATTGACAATGGGTGATCTTAATTGTGGGGGAGTTTTTACCATAGACAATCGATTCATACATTCCCGCGATGATCGTTGGATAACATGTGATGGATACCCTTCGCATTGAATTCCAGTCTTCTTACATCGTTTGCAAGAAGGTTTCGTTTCCTGTCATTCGTTAACACATGTCTTGTGATAGAGTTGTGGAATTGCCCCTATATCTCCTGGGCAATTAGTCGACAAAGTATTACATACATCGCATTTGACTCGGCGTACTCTAGAAATTTGGTATCAGCTCATGCTAGTATGGCATATAATTGTATAATCTTGTAAAATTGAGATAGGACTTGCATACTTGCACGTATGGCATCCCGTCTTGACCTTTTGGTGCTTCACCCGGGACTTCCTCGAAGCCTCACTTTCAAAGAGAGCATTGTCTGCCACCACGGTTTTAAGAAGTTTTCCCTCATCTAATGGTGGAATTGTCATAAACTTTGAAAGTCGAAAAGGCTTCATGATTGCTGATCTTGCATTGCAACATCATCATCATGGGCAACATATATCCTTGTATCCAGTGTAAGATTCCACACGAAGTATTTTAAGTGGTGTGCTTGTCGTTAAACAGCCTGAAATTCCTGGTGGGTCTTTTCTCAAATGGTGCTACTCGAACAGACAGGTCATAGAGGTAGTAAGGACGAGTACTGGGTCAATCGTTGTCTGTATCAATTGATATATAACCAAGCAAGTCAATAAATCAATATAACGTGTTGAGCAGGATCCAATTCATGGGATTCATGGAGAGTACTGGTACAATGCCGGAGAATGGAAGTCGAATATGTCGTCTCTTGCCAAGGCCATTAATTTACCTTAGTGTGTGTTTTCTAACGAACAAGGCTAAAGTTTAGTAACTACATAAAAGTTACTGGGTGCTTATCATTCTATCATACTACAGCATCAACCCCGTTGATCAATTATAAGAATTTCCTCTCGCCATAGGATCAGCATTACATACAGTCTTGAGAACATGGTCCTCAGGTTCAAACTCTCGATTTATCTTCTCTTTATCGGTACCAATTCAGCGTTCTGATGATTGTCAGTCACGAAAACACCCTCAATTCGAGACTGTATGCTTCGCCAACAACATCTGTCATTGCCGTTATGAGCGAAGTACAGAGTATAACCACAAGTCAGTGGAGTAATATGCTTATACTCTCCTCATGTACCTAGTACAGTCAGCAAAATCTGCTTCCTTTCTGTGATTAGTAACGAAACAAAATAGCACATTGCCACAAATCTTGCTACTCAAATCACAACGGCTATCCGTGTTGAGGAGGAGATAGACATATACAATTATACTTGTATCTCTCACTCTCTTCCTGCATCTCTTTGGTTTCTTGGGAATCCAAAAAGACCGGAAACATGTGAAAGGGAGGCATACCGAGAGATCAATCTCCGAATTGCTTGCAGGAAGTTCCTTTGGCCTCTTTTCCCCAACATCACCCGTTTAGACAGATGGATAGATGAATAAACCTACTCTGTCTATATCACGACTACGCTTGGAATATGAGCGACGGTATCTTCTTTTAGCTACCGATTGCTTCACTTGGAAAATGAGATTCCTTGAGGTAGGTATGGGATTCATTTTTATATACCCACGAGTTACCTATAGTAAGTAGATAACAATGAATTGAATCTTTTCATAACTTGATTGCAATCAAACGTTGGATCTTTTCAAAAGAGGATATTATACCTGCTCATGTGAGCAGATTGAAAGGTGTGCAAGAAGCCTGGCTCAAAGCCACCGAAGTTTCTTTCGTACGATTTTCAGACCTATCACCTGAGTTACGGATTCTTATATGGACGCTCTGCTGTTACATGCATGAATCATCTTTTGTGAGAAGGGGTTTGATTGTCGTAGTGATTACCTCAAAAATGTTTGCCCGAATCCTGGTATCATTGCTGCTTGTGTGGAGTTAAGAGCCGTTGCCTTGGGGTGCTACTACGCTTCGAAGCGGAACAGTCCCACCGTATATTTCAATCCAAGAGGCAATGATATTATGTACGAGCAAGTTAGGTTCTGTCGGACCTCTATTGGCGCGCACCTTACACGTCTCGCGATAAACTGTCACAGGCTTCCCATTTACCAAGGTTCCCGGAACAGTATAACTCGGAGCAGTAAGGAAAGTTATCGAAAGCTTTTCCAATCCTGTGGTGCCACATATCTGAGAGAAACACTCGTAGTCATTGAGCCGTCTCGTTGAAAGTCACTAGATTTGGTAGGGCTTGAAGACACAAAAGATTCATATTTGGAAGGGTCATATGGTCATGGAATTATGGATTATTGCAAGTTTTTCCGATCTATTGGTTTCAATTCTATATCCGAAGCAACTGATAATGTTCGACGGTCTACGAGAGCGCACGAGAACAGTTGTCTATATTGTCTACATTGCATGAAACCGGACGATTACTATTTTACCGCCAGCGACTTCTAAGAATTCGAAAGATGCCGCAAACGCTACATAAAAGCAGATCGCGACTTTGAACAACAAGAAGGTTTCCCTTTCCCAAACGTACGACTTGTCGAAGAGAGCTTTACTACGGGTCTTTCAGTCCTCAGACATGAGAAATTCAATCAATATCTGGTATGTTTACACTCTTCATTGTTTTCGCTTGCCTCCATCATTTAATTTATACGATATTAGTATCTGAATCCCAATTCTACTCAAGCAACTCATCTGTTAGACCAGAAGTAGCCTGGGAGCATTACGTTCACGCATTTTAATGGACGAAGCGAATCGTACAAGAATAAATTCCTAGGCATTCAAGCAAACGAGGTTGTTTGGTAATAGTCGTATGAAGTGGGAGCTGGAGGGAAATCTGGTCGTGAATAAGGTGCAACTTTCAGTTTCATCCCAAGGCTTTGGTTTGCTTCTAATTTTGCACGAACTGATGAGAAACTGCGAAAATCGACTTGGCGATATCTCTTGAAGTATTATTTTAAGTACTTTGAGACTTAATGCAATGATTCATTACAAATTGAACAACGAAAAACACGGGTTCGGGTACCAAATAATAGAAGAATGGCTTTGTTATAGATTCTGAAAGTTGAAAAGGTTCCCGTCATTCCATGTACTCACCAGTGCATCATCTATTTACATCGGCACTAATTAAAAGTACTGCTTTCCACAGTTTCATGCATCATATCTACATCCAGATACTACACTTCTCTTCCTTCTGTCATGAGAAACTTTGCTATTCGATCTTGATTAGTATATGGTCTATTCGCTTCTAAAAGTCTCGTAGCGACATCAACATGAAATGCACATTTTCTTTCCATCTCATCGCTATCCTGCATCCCCCATCTCTATTTCCTGAAATCTCAAACCATCATCCTATATCATTAATCATTATATAATGAACAAACTTCACAACCTTCTTCGCAATCCCCCGCCCCAAACCCGACCAACCTAGACCGTGAAAAATCTCTGCAACAACCAACTTTATCGGCCCATCTCCCGACCTCAGGCGGCGATTCAACATTCAAGATATATGGATGTAGACTTTTATCTTCATCTCCCGTTTTTCCATCCCCTCTTTAATAATTTTTCCGCCCCAAAACGAAACGGTAGAAGGCTGAGAAGAATGCCAGGTAGTACCGCCTCTGGCCTTTCATCATTGTCTTCGTCCTCATCTCCGCGACACAGGAGGGGTAGAGTTGCGAGCTCGGTGGGTTCGAGTGGGAGACAGAGGGGGTATAGAGGGGGTGGCCATCAAAGTAGAGTATGTCCATGTTGTGTTTGTGTTGCATTGTGGATATTGTGTTAATGATATTATTAGAGTGCGAGACGAGCTGCTGTAGGAGAAGTTGAGGAGGATGTATACGAGGAGGATAGTGAAGATGAAGATGTGAATGAGGGGGGAGAGAACGAGGAAGATGAAGATGAAGATGGCGAAGAGAGTGAGGATGAGGAAGATGAAGAGGAAACAAAACCTTCCCCGAGAAGACGTAATGTAAGTATTTCCACCTCCATTACCTATTTAAGTTTCAATACCGGAATACACAACCTAATAATAAATGGAAGGCCGAACCTGCTATCCCAGATAGAAGAAGAAGGAGAAGAAGAAGAAGAAGAGGTACTTCCAGTCGCTCATCTGGACATTCAGCAAAATCCTCTCGAGGATCCCATGGCTCATCGGGAAAGCATGGGAGGGGGAAGGGAAGAGAGAAAACCAAGAAGAATAAAAGCAGAAGTAAAACTAAAAGTAAAAATGGAGAAGGATCGGGGTTTTTTGGAAAGTTGAAGAGTGCATGGGCGAGAGTGACAGGGTCGCCTCGTAGAAAACGAACTGTTTGATTCATTGGCGATGATTGGAGGAATGAATTGAGGTTTGAAATTTGTCTTGTAAAATATCGGATTAACAACTGTACAACAGGGAGTTTGTGATGAGAGGAGGTCAATCGTTTGTATCTCAACATCCGGATATCCTCTATATCCGGTGACTTTATAAAATCCTCACTGCAACACAAGAACAAACACCTACAGCCGTGCCTATAAAGTATCCAACTTTTTTTGTCGTGACCCGAGTTAATCAACTATTTGTTCATTCGTCCAAGGGCAATTATGTCGTCTCCGAAACACCTTCGTATTGGCGTGTTCATTCCAGGCGGATGCCAGCTTCTTGATATGTCAGGTATCGACATTTTTTTCATGCTTTCACCAGAATACCTTTCAGCATGTGGGTTACCGGCCCCATTGGTCACACTTGGGATTAGTTGTACGATATACTATATATCTCTTCCGTCCACTGGGCCCGAAGTTGAATTGACGGCTAACGCTTTCCTTCGAGTATCGAAAACTACAACAGACAATGAAGTGCAGCCAGGTATGTTGGATATCATGATGGTTCCGGGACCAGATCCTAAAATAGCGTCGGACCAAGACACACGAACATTTTTGAAATCACACGCCGAGTGGAGGGGAGAGAATGGAGAGAAGGTTGATATCTTGAGCATCTGTACAGGAATTTTCTTAGTGGCCCAGAGTGGAGCTGTGAAAGGATTGAGTGCTAGTGGACCAAGAGCTCTAATTCCACGGTTGAAGAGGGAGTTTTCGGACACAAGATGGGTTGATGATAGGAGGTGGGTTGTGGATGGTAATATTTGGAGTAGTGGTAAGATTACGATTTGTACAGTATGTACGCGCAACTAACACGCAGATAGGTGGCATTACCAATGGACTAGAGATGATTGCTGCATATATAAGGCAGAAGTTTCCTAGTCCAGCAGCAGAGGCAGTAATGGCAATGGCAGATGTTGGAGAGAAAGGTGTCTTTTATACAAATGGAAATACGAAGGAAACGCTTTGGTGGTTATGGCAGATCTTGAGAGCAGTTGGCCTTGGTATTGGAAAGGACAAAACTTCTTGGCAGGGAAGACAGGAGTAGCATCATATTGTTTGTTGCTTGCGTGAAGCGTGTGACAAAACTCGAAGATCTCCATAGTGTTGTACTATTTTGTTGGAACGACTTATCTGCAGCCAGATTCTCAGGTTGTCAGATTGTGTAAGATGCATACCGAGATTGATTTTCCAGTGAATGTGACGGTGGAAGCCTTTTCTTCTTGTGGTTGATGTTATTGATATGATTTTAACATAATCGTGACCTATACCGAGAAGATGTGATATAGTACATACTCGAGTATCGAGGAGTATCGAGACTTCTCGAGACTTCTGTATTGGATCTTTAAAAATCTTATAGTGGAGAGCTATGAGAAAATAAACGTCAGTTAACCAATTATTAACCAATCAAATTGCATCAACAGATTGAGCGTTAACCCTCAATGGGTAATAGTTGTCACACGGTGGATCTCAAATCTCACTAGCGTAGACGGATAAGCTATCTTAGTGTGTTAGTGTGCCGCAGAATGAGAAAAAAAAAGTTGTCGGGTATCTTTTCTTCAAGAACTACCTTTTATCAAGACACCGCTCACCAATCTCTTCTTCTAAAATCTCTTCAACTCATCTCAAGATTCTTACTTACTGTTTGCTTTTTGAAATAGTTCTTTTTCAATCATATTAACATCAATTGGATCATCAATTCAAATTTTCTTACAAGATGCCTCTCCTTCCAGGTAAGTAAACAGAAATCATCTCGTCTGCCTTGTTTTGGTCTTGCAAAAATATTCATCTAACTTTGCGCTACAGTCGCTATGTACGGCCTTGAGGTCCCAGCAGGAGATATTCTCATTCCCGCTGTCCCAGATTTCCCAGCTACCGTAAGTTTCACACTGTTTTTCACTACATTGATGTTGCTGTTGCTTTTTCGGTCCTACCTAGCAGGCTTCAATGAAAAATGCAAACGCTAACAATTTCAATCTCTAGTTCCGCATTACCATGGCAGCAATCGACCCAACTGAACCTGCCGATGATGCTGAAGGTGTCAAGCCTAGATCAACCTTGAAGGTCATTCGTCAATCGAGTGCTGAGGATGATGAAGAAGACAGTGAAGATGAAGATGAAGGTTCGGATGATTTATTACGTGCTTTGTTGGCAGATAATGACTCTGGATCAGATGAGGACAGCGAGGACGACGAAGAAGCCAATGGTGGACCAAGCGACCCCTCCAAGTCCAAGAAGGCCCAAAAGCAAGCTGCTCTTAAGGAACTTCTTGCTTCCATCAGCAAAGACGATTCCGACGAAGAAATGGAGGACGCTTCCGACAAGAAGAAGGTCGCCAAGAAAGGAAAGGCGAAGGCCGCCGCCGAGGTCGAGGAGGAGAGCGACGAAGAGAGTGAGGATGGTGAGGGTATTGAGGTTGAGGAATATGTTCTCTGCACTCTTGACCCAGAAAATGTATGTGTCAAAGACCCCGCTTATGTTAAAATCATGCTGATCATAATATAGCACTATCAACAACCTCTCGACATCACCATTGGCGAGGACGAGACTGTTTTCTTCAAGGTCACTGGTACCCACACAATCTTCCTTACTGGTAACTACGTGATTCCAGATGATAACGGACACAACCACCACCACGAGGTTTACGACTCTGATGAGGAAGATGATGAGGACTACGATCTCTCTCCAGATGAGGATGAACTCGAACTCGAGATGGACTCGGATGAGAGCGATGAACTCGATGGTGCCCGTATTACTGAGGTCGAGTCCGAGGACGAGGCCCCAAAACTTGTCAAGGCTGACAAGAAGGGAAAGAACAAGCGCTCTGCTGATGAAATCGAGGAGGCCGCATCCCTCGATGCCATTATCGCCAAGGCTGCTGAATCTGAGGAGCCAAAGCTTAGCAAGAAGCAACAAAAGAAGTTGAAGAAGAACAATGGCGAGGCTGCTCCAGCCAAGGCAGAGGAGGTCAAGAAGGATGCTGCTAAGGATGAGAAGAAGGTTCAATTCGCTAAGAATCTCGAGCAAGGACCTACTGGATCTGCCGCAGCTAAGGTTGACCCCAAGAAACCTGCATTGGGCATCAAGACTGTCGACGGAGTAAAGATCGATGACAAGAAGCTTGGTTCCGGACCAGTCGCCAAGAAGGGTAACAGAGTTGGCATGCGCTACATCGGAAAGTTCACTGATGGCAAAGTTTTTGACTGTAAGTTTAGGTCCTTCCAATTATCTTGAGACTTTCTAATATTTGAAATTTAGCAAACAAGAAGGGCAAGCCTTTCTCCTTCAAGCTCGGTGCCGGCGAGGTCATCAAGGGCTGGGACATCGGTGTTGCTGGTATGTCAGTCGGTGGAGAGCGAAGATTGACAATTCCAGCACACCTTGCATACGGCAGCAAGGGTGTCCCTGGTATCCCAGGTAACTCCACTTTGACTTTCGATGTCAAGCTTCTTGAGATCAAGTAAACGCCATCGTCATTTGTATAAGAAAGTCTCAATCATTTCAGAAGTGTGTTTGAATGATTCGACGCTGATGGTCACTTTGCTTTTCATATCTATTGTACAATTTTCTCTTTACTTTCATGTATCTCCTTGCTGTCTGCGATTTCATGATATTTTCATGATATGTCAATCAGCAATGTAATGTTTTTGCATAAGTCTCCGACCTGAGCAGTTCTCTGTTTAAAGAGGAAGCAGACTACGCAAAATGGGATGATGAGGTTTGCATAGCACTACAGGCGTATTTTCAAAAAGTTCGATTAGGTTTTAAACACAGGGGATTGTGCTTTAATCGGTTATCTCATAATAAACAAAAACTATTATACCAATGCAATATCGCCCTTTCCCAATGATATTTGATGGTGATGCCTTCCCTTGTTCAGTAAAGAATCTCCCCATGGGTAGGAGCTCTCATGGCAAATGATAGATAAAAGTATTACTTCTGATTCATCTCGTTCTTGTAACCTTCATCAGTATCAACATTCTTTGTCAATCATTTGTATGCTGTTTAGCAGTTCCATTCTTACATTTTAGTATCGATAATCATTATCTAACCCTTGAGAGGATCCTCGACAATGAAAAGAACTCGCACAGGTCCTGCACTCGATCCCAATGCAGTAGACCAAGCTGGCCCGCCTCCTCAATTGGAGAAACCTCTTTTTCTCGAAACTGTTACTCAATTGGACTCAGTATCTCCTCCACATTCTCCCACACATCACATTCATAGACCTTCAAAGTTTCGACGTCAAGGATCAAAGATTCTCTCGGTTTTACGTTCGTTAACTAACAACAGTAAGTGATTTCTTCTCTATTTGTTTTCAGTTTATACCTTACCTGTTCTAACCATTGGTTGTGCAATATTAGGCTCAAGTATAGCTCTAGAGGATGATTATGCACCATTATCACCTCCTCCCGAATCTGTTGCTCTAGGCAAGAAACTCTCCATGGCTTTACTCAAAGCTCCACCCACGATCGTTCATCGTACACAGTTCAAGAGCAGACCCAGTCTAATCTCTCTCGATAAAGGTGTTTTGGATTTCATGCCCGATGCTCCTACTCCTCCATCGAGTGCAGAATCTGCAAGCAATAGCGGAAAATCATCTGGTCCTGATGCTAAGCAATCGACTCAAAAAACTTCTCTCGAATCAAAGTTCTCGCAGAAATCTGTAGGTGTCTCGCATCACTCTTCGGAAAACAAAAAGGTCATGCAGAAGAATTTGAATCAAGCCGACGTTAGCTCTGCTGAGGGAGTTCTGGCATCGATCACTGAAGGTGATAATGTTGAATGTCCACAGCCAGTTCCAAGTAAGTTTCCCCTCATAATCTATAATATCATTACAACTAACAATTCGCAGCTGTAATCACCGTCGAAAAGGCAGCTTCTGCAAAAGTTTTCTTTGAAACTTATTACAATGAGGTTACTGCTAAAGCAATAACACCTCGATCTCTCCGTCGCTTAAATTTAGAAAATGAGCTCCTGAATGATATGATCTCTACCCCAACAGATAAAGCGGAAAGACTTCAAGCATTAGCTACAGCAGAAACGAATCATCTCAGACAGACGAGAAATATGAAGGTGCGAAGTACCAATGCTTTGAAGGGCAGAGATCATAAACCTTCGAACTATGAGGTGGTTAAGGTACTTGGAAAGGGTAGTTTTGGTGTTGTGAGATTAGTAAGAGAGAAATGGGCTCCAGGTGCTAGCGAGTAAGCTTCATTGTCTTGGTTTATTGGTCGATGGAGATGATTGACTGATGATGGATAGATTGGAACCAAGTAAGCGTATCTATGCCATGAAGGTAATTAAAAAATCGGATATGCTCCGAAATAGTCAAGAAGGGCATTTGAGAGCTGAGCGTGATTTTCTCGTCGCTGCTGAGGGATCTAGATGGTGAGTAGTGGGTAATGATGTCTTTATTGAAGATACTAAGCAAATTGACTAGGGTCGTTCCTCTGATTGCTAGTTTCCAAGATCTCAACAACCTGTACCTCGTCATGGATTACATGCCAGGAGGAGACTTCCTCGGCCTCCTTATCCGTGACAACGTTCTCTCTGAGTCCGTCACAAAATGGTATATTGCCGAAATGATCCTCTGCATCGAAGAAGCCCATGCTCTCCGCTGGATTCATCGCGATATTAAACCAGACAACTTCTTGATATCTGCATCTGGTCATCTGAAGATCTCTGACTTTGGATTGGCTTTTGATGGACATTGGTCTCATGATCAAGCTTACTTTCATAACCACAGATATTCGCTTCTGAATAAACTTGGAATCACTGTTGAGGGAGATTCTCTCGATAAAAAGGAAGGAAGAAGTGTAGCTGCAGCTATGAAAATGGCTCATGTGATGATGGGTGGAAAAGAACGTCATGAGAAGAATTCAGATAATGCATCGGAGTCAGAGAGTATTCTTAATTGGCGCAATCGTTTTGGTAATAGGACGCTTGCCAAATCAGTGGTAGGTACGAGCCAGTATATGGCACCGGAAGTGGTGAGAGGGGAATTATATGATGCTAGATGTGATTGGTGGAGTGTTGCTGTTATTCTTTATGAGGTGAGCTACCAGTTTTTATATCTTATACTAAGGAATTGATGCTGATATAATCATAGTGTCTTTACGGTCATACACCTTTCCTTGCCGAAGAAGGCGGAAGACAACAAACAAAGATGAACATCTTGAATCACAAAACCACATTTCAATTCCCCTCGCGTCCATCCGTCAGCAGAAGATGCCAAGATCTCATCCGCAGCATCATCCAAGAAAAAGACCATCGCCTCTGCAGTCGCCGCTACAAATCTCGCGACACAACACTCGGCTCCGTATCATCTCGTCGAAACCTCGATTACGCCGGTCGCTACGTCTACCCCAACGATGGCGAGGATATCAAAGCGCATAAATGGTTTCGCGATATTCAATGGGACCGTATTCATTTGATGCCTCCTCCTTTCATCCCCAACATCAAGTCGATGGATGATACGCATTATTTCGATGAGGAAGAACCGATTTCTGATTTCTCGGAAAGTGTGGCAAGTGTGCAGCCGACGGTTCAACAGATTACTGATGCTCTTAAACCATTCAATCGCGAGATTCAAATTCTTGCGACGGGATTTATAGAGAGACCGCATGATACGGTTAGATTGAAGAGGGTGGAGAAGGAAATTGATCAATTCGCTATGAGGGATGAGGAGAAGGAGTATCTGAAGAGATTTGTGAAGACATTTGGGAAGAAGGAGAGGAAGAGGCCGAGAGATAGGTTGTTGAGGGATAAGGAAATTGCGCCGAAGATTCTGGAGTTGAGGAAGAAGGGGGCGTTTTTGGGGTATACGTATAGGAGGATTGATATGGGAATGGGAGCGAGAGGGAGTGGAGATGGGAGTGGGAGTGGGAGTGGAAGGGGAGTGGTGGCGGCGGGAAGCTGGAGGCCGAATGTTTGGCATCGGGCTAGGCTGAGTGTTCATTGATTAGATCGTTTACACTTGTTCGGGGATTATGAAGTGAGTGGTGAAGTTTGGTGATAAGATGTGGGAGACTGGGGGTAATGATGAGGAAATGGATGAACGTTTGACTGGTGTCTGGCTTAGTCTGGCTAGGCTGGGCCGGGTTGAGTTATAATCGAAAGGATTGACTTTTGTATTGGTTTTATAGATACTGTACACATTCGTTTATTGAATTTTTCGTTTACTACTACTTTGACTTGATTACCTCTTTTCAGTATGACTTGACTTTGCTCTTGATCGTGTTACTAAGGTGTATGTATTCCATCAAAGTGGAGGGAAAAGAGGCTAGTGAATAAATAGGCGAGGGGGGGCTTGGAAATAGGAGGTATAAGTAACGTATGAATGGCGTTTATTTTTCTCTTATGTGTTTTTGTGTAAACTGAAAGTTAGTAGCATACAAGATAAGTATACTCGGATATGTGCCTTGCTTATACGGAAATGGCATCATATATGTGAATGAATGGGAAAGGGTTGGATGAGCCGAGTTTTCATATTTGTATGTATAGAAGCAGGTAAGGGGGGGGAGGGCTGAGAAAGATGATGAGTTCTCGGATTGTTTGTCTTTAGCATAGAGAAGAGAGACGGGTATAAAAAAGTATTTATGGAAAGAAAGTACAATTTGATTAGATTCAAAGATAGTATGGGGTATATATAACATATAGTATGAAGAAACATCGCATATTTCGTCGTCATTATGCGGAACTCCAAGGGCATAGTTTAGGAAAGAAAGGTGCTTTAAAGAAATTGAGATATGGTGATACTCAAACGCAATCCTCAATTTGATGAACAGATATCTTTATATCGTTATCGTTCTCATCGGTGGGATAAAAATCGGTGTTGTCGACGGATTTTTCATCGGGGTTATGGGAGTATGGAGAGCTAGAACGATTCGAGTTTTCAGAGAGTTCACAGACGTAGTGATTTAGAAGGAGACGATGTTTGAGGAGAGATTGGAAGTCTGCTCCGCGGGCAGCGTTGGCGATGTTATGGGCTTGAATGAGGATTAGGAGGAGAAATCCTTCGATGATCTGGGAGTTATGTTAGTATGGAGGTTATTATAGGTGGGATATAGTGGTCAAGGCAGACTGTGGAGATGGAAAGGTTAGACGTACCATAGTTGGTGTATTGCACAGAAGTTGACCAGTTTCGGACCATTTCATTATAGACGCAGTGGCAAGCAATGCAAATACAACACCGACAGATGCGATGCTCACACTCGATAATGCGCAAAACTCTCCTGCTGCGGCAGATGCTCTTGTGCTAAAGTTTCTTGCCTTGGTAATGCTTTGGTATGGAGAAGGAATATTAAGTAAGTCTAATAATCGATCATTACTTTCGGCAATCTTCTCGAATTGTACCTCTGCAACTTTCTCGTCTCGATAATAAACATTCCGAAGTACAAAACCGTCGATAAAACCCACAAGGCCTGTAAAAGTACCAATGATTAACCACCAGTTATCATTGAATTCGAGAATAGGACCGACAGCTATCCAGACAATCGTTACGATCAAAGTGATCAATAGCCCAACGCCCGAGCCCATAATATCGGCAAAGATATCGATAGATCTATCAATCCAGCTGATGGTTGGGGCAGGGATCTCAAATATTGGGTTAGTTTGGTAATCGTTTGTAATTTCTCTCAATCGCCACTCAACCTCGGAATCGACTCTTAAAGCATACTCAAGGCATTGCTCAAGATTATTCTCTTGTTGCTGTTGTATATTTTGCAAGAAGATGGAAGTAAATGTCAAGGCAACTGCAGTAGCTGTATTGACATATAACTGCCAAGTATCGCTGAACTGGAATAGAGGACCCATGCCAACCCAGAAGAATATACCGATCCAGTAGAGGATATATGCCCAGATAGAGCCAAGGCCTTTGGCAACGGTCTTGCAAGTGTTGTTCCACATATAACGTGCTTTTGATATATCACCACTGCCACTTGTAAGTAGGATATCATCAGCGTTGGATCCAACAGGTTTATCATCTTTGAACAATTTCTGAGCAAGGTTCTTGTGGGTTTCCATCCACTGGCAGCTAGGTAATCGTCGGAGAAGGCGCTCGAAAGTTTGATTACGGGACTGGAGTTCGGCGAGAGTGGTTAAAAGAGAGTTTGAGGCGTTGGAAGCTTGTCTAAGGAGCAGGATATCTGTTAAATAGACTTGAATTGAAGATGCATTTTGCATGACGATTTGCCAGGTATCAGTCGTGCCATCAACGAAACCAAATATGACCCAAACAAGCATGATAGCCATCATTGCTACAAAAACCCAATTTGAACCAGCAGCTTTCGTGACAATGTCCAACATATTTCTTCTCGGCTTAGAGATGGCATCTTTAGTTGTAATTAAGATTGGCTCTCTCTTGCCATTTGATGAAGAAGGTCGTCCAGCGGCTTTTTTTGGTGTAGGGTGAGAAGTCTGAGATATAGCTGCGGCTCGAATTGGTTGTTTCCTAGGTGAAATGAAGTCCTCAAACTTCTGCCAAGCTGACAGGAAAGTCATGTTTACTATAGTTATCTTCTAGAGCAACACCAAGTTTCATTAAATAGACTATAATTAACAAGACAGGTTGACATAAGAAACAAAGAGGTTGAAGCCGGCTTGGAAAATGACAGGAAATCAGAATCGGCCAAGATTCACAAGACTTATATCAGATATAGGGTACCAGGATAGGGCATACTTGATGTGTGGAGTCACCAGGCTCCATCCCATACTACTTGTGTCCCCTCCAACAATTTGGGATAAGTGATAAAGATAGTCGGCGTACTGCCCACATTTCTTGCAATACACGTCAATTGTGCTTCTAATATCCAATATTCAAAACACTAGTGTTGTGAGAATAATACGAAGTATCAATTGCTAGTTGGGTATGATGCGATGAGGGGATCTGAATGGTGTCAAAATTTGACAGCAAAGGGAACAGAAACGCTGGTATCTCGAATGCCCAGGTTTGAAGCAGCTTATGAGTTGGGGTTGAGTGATGAAACAAAATGAAAAGATGGGCTCCACTTAAGAGAGAAAAAACATGTGGCCATGACTTGGGGGAAAACGAGCAAATGCGGCAACAAAACGCCAAGAACTAGCTTGGGTGATCCCGTCTCAGATTTAAAATCCAATCAACAGCCATGAAAATTACACAGGGCTGAAATTGTATGAACTACATTGTGAGCGCCACTGCTGCGGGTGGCTTGGCGTGTCCGCCCTTTCAACGTCTGCGCATCGACTGCCGCAGAAATGTTGTGTGGATGAATATATCCGGGGTACTGCGCCGACGAGAATGATCCACAATAGTTTTTATATTGCATTATGAGAGCCAGCGAGTCTAAGGAAATTGAATGCATAATCAATAACTGACCTTGAAGGAAGATCTACTTCGCAAGAATGTACGATCGACACGCACTGAAAACGATCTTCTAGAATACAATAACCCGCCTGTTCAGGGACAGGGAATTTTGAGCGCTTGAACTATTCTGGGGATGTCACCAAAGCGCCTTGCAGTGATACGCTAATATGACAGCGGCAGCTTCGGTTGCTAAGAAGATCTATTAATGTAAACATGACTCACTGAGAACGTATGTTGCGACTCCCATTTTCTAAACTATGGCCCTTTCGTAAAAGATAGATACATCTGGTGACAAGGTTGGGGGGCTAACTCAATCGCAATGCCACACTTGCCGCACATGTTGACCGTGCAGCCATGATTTTGTGCATCTAACAGGTCGTGTGAAAGTAGTCCAATGATTTTTGTGTATTGGTTCGCGGATTGATGTTGGAAGGGAAACATGCTCAAAGCAAATAATGCGATAGCATGGTAAACGTCGTCTTGGGCCTTGAGCACCCAAAGCCTCGTGACTAGCTTTGCGACACAAATATCCAAAGAAATCGTTCGAATGCCCTAAAGTGGGTCTGTAGAAAGCAAATGATTGCCGATACTGATTTTATATATGTGATACCAATATGTTCCAAGAAGCCAAAACCACGAATCATGAGATGAGTCCGCCAATATATTTGGGGTGACGGTGCAAGCAGAGTGCGATTATGAGATGAGTAATTTCAATAAGTCACATACATCTTAGAGATTCATTATCTCTAGAGCGGAATTTCGAGTCAAACATATAGCCAAGAACTTTCTGGCTGTGCTTTGAGCCTCACTCGAAACAAAGGAATGCTGTTGGATGCCGCGGGACCTGATGCGGAGCGGCACTTGCTAAACTCAAACGTCGGTAGTCTATAGAGACGGCATTGAGTTTCGTCATGTTTAGTAACGCCCCACCAAGATTTCTCCAGTATCCTATAGTCGGCATTTTGGTACGCTCAGGCCTGAGCATCGCATCAGTTAGGTCTAGGTTAGCATGACGATGGCAGTGTTTCGAAATACAAACTAACAACGATGATATAGAAGATCGGATGGAGACACAAAGCATCCAGCTATATACCGCAAGCATTTCCGGAATGAGAACACTATTGATGCAACTCTTGCCGAACGAATTTAGAAAGAAACCATGTTTTGATGAGAAAGCAAGTGAAGTCGGACTTGTACAGCCGTGCTTACATAAGCATACTGCTAGCCTACTATCGTATGGTACGATGCGAGTAAAGAAACCGTTCACAAGCAAAATCCAATGCCGAATGAACACCTAGTAGCATCGACATACAATATTTCCACTGGAGTCTTGCCGTTGTCCAGCAATCATTTTCCTGATTCTCAACGTTCTCGATCGCGGCATTGCAATGCTTCGGATATTGTGATTCCTCTGGTTTCAAGAGATGTCTCGATAGATATCCATCCTCCTGTCGATATCTTGGGGAACTAGTCCCTTGGGTCATACAATATAATAGACATTTCGATACATGAGGCTCCGAGATCAAGGCAGACAAACTTCAATACTTCACTTGATATCACGACTTAGTAATAATACACAATGATGATGAATATGCCATGCTTGGGGTTGCAATTTTCGATTGGTGGTGAATTGATTTTACCGATTACTGGCGAATTAACCTCTCTCGTGCTTCTTCTTCACTACAAACAAGTGTTTGTAGGTCGCACAAACTTTGATATTTGCTTACCTTACATACAATGCAGTCTTATGGCTTACAAGACCACATCGCAATCTCAGCTTATGATTTCTTCTTCAAATTGCCTTATACATTGAGCCAAAAGGTGGTTAAAGAAGATTTTCCTATCTCAATATCCTAAATCATGAGGGAGGTTATCGTTCATCCAAGTCCTGATATCTGGACTGAGATCAACGAAGTAGAAATTCCACAGCCTGGGCCCGACGATGTGGTGATCAAAGTCATTGTTGCGGGGAGTAATGTCAAAGGTAAGCACACTCAATCAACGTGGACTCGAGAATTAGTAGCTCAGACAGATTTCCACCTTCTAGATTGGCTCCATCTCAAGGCATTGAAGAAGTCACTCAACAGTGGAGATGATATCGCTGGTATTGTACACTCCCTTGGTACCAATGTGCAAGCAAAGAATGAATATTCTCCTGGAGACCGTGTTGCTGCCTTTCATCCGATGATGAGACCTCATGGAGCTTACGCCGAATACGCTGTTGCGCCGATTCATACTGTAATGAAACTTCCAGATGCAATAACTTTCGAAGGTCAGTCCCAAGTCGACGACTGATGTCGGTTTCTGATTGTTTCTTAGAAGCTGCGACCATTCCGCTAGTTGCCACGACGGCGGCACTATCTCTATTTCGCCGTCAGCATTTACCACCTCCATGGTCGCCAAGGGCTGATAGTGTTCCTCTTCCGCTCATCATCTATGGTGCATCTTCTTCTCTTGGTACATTTGCAGTCAAATTAGCTCGCGCCTCGAATATCCACCCAATTATTGCTATCGCAGGAGGCAGTTCTTTGCATTTACATTCCCTTCTTGATTCATCTTCTGGTGATAAGCTAATCGACTATCGCTTGGGCATTGAACAAATGATCAAAGCCACTAAAGTGGCCTTGGGAAGCTTAGAGTGTCACCATGCTCTTGATGCCATCAGCTCAAATGGCACATGGATCCCGATATCTCATATGCTAGCTCCATCATTTTCGTCGCAGTCGCCATCTTACTTATCAGTTGTCACAGGCTCTAATAAGTACGACGAAGAATCAATTCAGTCGGGAATTGAAGTAATATATACCATGGTAGGCACAGCACATACGGGCGTGTATAAACCAGACACGGTTAAACAACCATCTGATAAAGAGTTCGTGAAAGGTGATCCAGAGTGGGTGGCTGTGTTCTTCAGTTACATGTCTCAGATGCTGGTGGACGGCAGACTTACTGGACACCCCTTTGATATTATCGGTGGAGGGTTGACAGGAGTTGGAGAGGGCCTGAGACGTTTACAGAGAGGACAGGCTAGGGGAGTTAAATATGTCTACAAGATCGGAGAAGTTGAGTGAGAAAATTTTGGGGTATCGTCCTGACTGGTTAGGGCCCGATTTTGCTTACGATCCAGCAGAAACAATTTAATTACTATCTTATCAGAATGTATGCTTGGTTTCGAATTAATAATTTGAAGGCTCGAAGTCTTGAGAAACAGGCATAAATTTCAGAGCATGCAAACTATCACTTGCAAAAGTCTAGACCCATTACTTACCGAGTTTGCAGCTATTAATTCGGCATTTAAAAGCTTGTATGAATCTACGGTGTCGATCGATCAATCATCGCCATTTGAGAATCAACCCACTTCATTATCGACAAATTCATCATTTGCACTTTTCCATGATTTACTCATTTAATCGGCCAACCTATCAGCCAATTGTACTAGGACAAATTCCGATCAAACCCCATCGTTTTCGGACATACCGGTAGGTCTCGGCATTGTCTCCATTTAAATTTCTTTATTTGGTTCATTATCAAAGTCATGACGTCGCAAAATGTCCTTCCTCCAGTTCTACTTGTGATGTAAGCAAGTGACATTCATCCTGGTATTTTGGATTACAATGCATAGTTCGTGCATAATCTTCTGATTGTACCATGGCCTGGGCGAAGAGGGGTAAATACTTTATTATCCATACTTTCTTATCACCTCCCTCCCTCCCTTAATTCTTATACACGTTTTCAGAGTAGAATATTGAGTGCGAGATATTCAATTGATTTCTTGGGAATTTTTGAACACCATGACAGAATCTGAATCGAACATCCACCACTCAGATAGCATGAATGGCCCAACTGGTAGAAGTGATGCTAGACACCCAAGTATACTGCATCCGGATCTTGAGATACGTTCCAGGGATGAATTGCCAGATCCAAATGAATTGGAATTAGAGGAAGAGTTAGATGGTTGGTACGGATACATCGAATGGGAAAAATATCCGGAGCGAAAGCAGAAAGTGAAAGAATTCATGAAGAAATTTAAGTTTCCCTCGGTATGAAAGCAGTCCAAGCTCTGAACGAGACTCAAATGCTGATCGACTTGTGCTTCAGGCACCCGAATTTCAATTAGTTCCCTTGCCAAAAACCAATCCAGTACTAGAAGGCGTGAGATGGAAACAGTATCATTATGCATTGGGCAGAAAGACGAAAGATATGCCAGCAGAGAGTTGGCTGTTTGTTGAGAAGGAAAAGTCTCCAGACATGATTCATGTTTTGCAATTTCCATACAACGGAGAACCCCCTCGAGTATGTCCATCTATTTCTTTGAGTCTGGGAATAGCAAGAATAACAAAGCTGAATAGAATCGACTCGTTGAATCGGCTATAACTTCTAATGAAGACCATTTTGTTCGGAATCATGGTGGAATTCCTGAGATTGACGAAGATTCTTACTTCTTCGATGTTGCTGGTTTGGTTAATAACCCGAAACGTATTACTTTGAAAGATTTGATGGATGAAACCATCTTCCCGAGACAGAGTAACGTGGTCACAATTCAATGTTCAGGGACCAGAAGAATTGAGCAGATCAACCAGTATCCTGGTGATGGAGATGAACTTATCAATGCACCTGTACGTAACAACTCTCATCCTGTATAACGACAAACTGACACAAGCAAAGTGGGGCGAAGGTGCTATTGGAACCGCACGATGGACCGGTGTATCCCTCAAAAAAGTTATCAAATACTGCGGCGGTCTCAAAGACCCATCAGGGACTTATCATCTTGAATTTCTCGGCGCAGATACCTACTTCAAAAAAGGAGAAGTGTACAACTACGCTGTATCCGTTCCCTGGCGCAAGGTGAAAATCAACGAGGTACTTCTCGCCTGGGAAATGAATGGGGAGCCACTTCCTAAAATTCATGGCTTTCCATTACGTGCAGTGGTATTTGGCTATATTGGCGCTCGCTCATGTAAATGGCTTACTAGAATTAATGTTCTCCCCCAGGAATCTCTTGGTCCGGTGCAGAAGAAAGAATACTTGTATTACAATTCTCAAGTTGGAAAACATAATGCAGCTTATAGTTCGGGGTTTAGTATTCAAGATATGCCGGTGAGTTCAGCGATCATGAGCCCGGTGGATATGGATCAGATAGTGCATGAGGGGACTATAAAAATGAGGGGATGGGCATATAGTGGGGGAGGACACTGGCCGGTGAGGGTAGAGGTCAGTGGGGATGGAGGGAATATTTGGTATGAGGTACCTTATGAGAACTTGAGTGAAAAGTATTACCATGCCTGGAGATTATGGGAGATCGATCTTCCAGTCGATGCGGAAGGATGGTTAGAGTTGGTGGTTAGGTGTTGGGATAACTCGATGAACACACAACCTACATTTGTCAGATCTACTTGGTAAGTTCCCCTCCTCTTTTGATTTCTCAAGTTAGCTAATATATGTCAGGAATTGGGATCTTCATGTCACTTCGTCCTGTCACCGAATCAAGGTCTTTAGTATCAACAAGACGAGACCAAAGACAGCAGCAAGATTGCAAATGTATGAGAAATTGGGAGTACCATTCCTGCCAATCACTCAGCCTGGGCCTTTTGAACTGGAGGAAGATGACACTTATGATGCAGAGATGGAAGCTAGAGGTGGTCGGGATCCTTTAGAGTAACGGAGAAGAAATCTCATGTGGAGTTCAGTTGGTTATTGTTTTCAGTGGTGCTACGGAGTTGAGTCGAGCGTTGTTGTAAGCAACACACGGTTACTTGATAGCTGTCTTTAATAGTTTAATATAAAATTATATTGTTGTTGAGCATACTCTCAAGTACATGACTCTGGCCCCTACATTACTAGTGAGTCGATGATATAATTTCACATATTTCCATCAGCTTAGATAAAGGCCTACCGGATAGGCTCTAAAGCCTATTAATTATAGGGCTACAACTTCAGCCCCACCACAGTCCATTAAACGACGTCATAGCACATACTAACTACCCCACACATTTATATCCTGCTTAAACTCTATCGTCAAGTTGACTTTCGTCACTTATTTTACCTTCAAATAACACTAAAACAATACTATCTAAGGGCCGATCCGCTTTTAACAACTTACTATATAGTCCATCAAAACTAACGTACACTTGAAAAAAAAAAGGATATGTTTCAAGCACTCAAATCCAGCATGACGGACAAAGTACAATCCCCCCCTAAAGATGCTGATGGGAATCCCAGCACTCAAGAAAAAGTCCTTCCCCAAATCAACGAAAAGATAAAGGCAGCTCAAGAAGCCACCGAAAAAGCATCTGCAAATCGCGAAGAAGCATCCTCGCTTCCTGATTCCGAAGATGCCCAAGAAGCAAAGGCAAAACTTCTAGAAGAAGCCCAGAAACTGGAGAAGAGGGCAAATTCGGAGTTGAAGATTGCTCAGAGGTTGCAGAGTGGAGTGTGGCAGGGAGGTGCGGGAGGTGCGGGGATAGGTGCAGGTGTGGGAATGGGGTTGGGGACGGTGGTGGGTTCGGTGGTGGGAGGTGTGGTGAGTGTGCCGACTACGGGGTTGGGATTGTTGGCGGGTGTGGGAGCGGGGCGGCTCATGGACCTTGGTTTAAGTTACCGAAGATTGGGGGAGAGGAAGGGGAAGTGGGGGAAGCCGACGAGAAGGCGGCGGAGGGGATGTCAAGAAGGAAGAGGGAGAGATGAAGAAAGTAGAGGCGGAGATGGAAGAGGAGAAATAGTGGTTGTGAGATATGGATGATTGCTTTCGATACGAATCTACGAATTTCACGGCCGATATGCGAATTTCGAATCAGGAAGCGATGTTTTATATTATACCAATTGTTTGGAGATAGGACGAGATTGAATATTTGTGGAGGAACGCTGGAGAAACATCATCACACACGAAAGTGTTGATGTATGTATTTTATATGGGCACATTTGGAGTTGGAATCTTTAACACATTTTTTATTATTTGGATCTCACATGGTAGTTTGATATTTTTATCATGCTATTGTTGTACGTTCTTTAATTGTATATTATCTCATCTTCATGGAATAGAAACTTTAGGACAATTCGAATCTTGTGTTCTTGTGAAGAATAGACGACTACAATCAAGCTTGAACCAAACAATTTGAAATTTATATATATACTCTCATCTAGACTATCTCAGACCGCAGATTATAGCATACAATTTTTCAGATTTGGCTCGCTATCATCTCATTTCCAGATCAATGCAATGTATTCAATCCGTAAATCAAATGCACAGTATATGATTTCATCCTTACCATGTCATTCTTCAATCCGCATCAGATCATCATCTTATTTAGTTCCTATACTGCACTCTACAAAAACAGAACATTACCTCCAGATCTACTTATAAAAATCCAAATGCTATACCACTCTCTTCTGAGCTTTACCTCGCAACTCATCATACACCATCTCATCCATGGCTTTCCTGTAAGACCGAGCGAGATCGTCAATCCCCCTACCTAGATTCAGTCATCGTAGATAACAATGGTCATAATTCTCTCTCTGACTCACAGAAACGAACTCGCCAGAAGAAGAAGTCGAATATTGAGATAAAGTCCTACGGAGGTGAGCTTTCATTTCCTCAATTTCTATCTAAATGCCCAAATCAATATCGGATACAAACTGACACTATGAATTCCTCATTTCATTACCATAAGTTTTTTCTCAGTCCGCAATTCCATATTCTTTAACCAGTGTGTGGAAATTTCAGAAGGACCTAACTACATTACCATTCCAGCGTTCCAAGAAATCAACCCGAAGTTATCTCATCCCATCCCACCCTATCCTATCCTATACTACCCCTTCCAATCTCCTTCCAATCACCTACAAAATCAATCTAACTCCTCCAATAAGACCTCCCTACAAAATCATCAATCCCACCATCCCCAATCCCCAAATCAACCCCCCAATCCCCACTTCCCTCGCGCTCTTCCCCGCCGCCCCAAAAATTGCACCGGTCCACTCTCACCTCCCGTCTCATCCCCAATTTCACTCGGGGTCGCTCCAAACGCCGATTCCACTGCATTATTCAAAGGTTTCGATGATTCATCAATCGTAGCTGGGTTAGTCGCGGCGGGAATAACAGAGGGGAGAACAGAAGCAGCGAGGATATTGGCATTGCTGACTGGGGGGAGTGATTGAGGGAGAATGGATGCGGGGAGGGAAGAGATGGGATATAGGGGGAGGATGTCTGCAGCGGGGGGAGGAGAGGGGGCAGTGAGAGCGGCGAGGGAGACGGCAGTGGGGGAGATGGTTGCAAGAGGGGATTGGGGGAGGATAGCGGGTGTGAGGGCTGTTCCGGGGAGAGCGCGCGTTTGTGTGCAGGGACTGTGTGCGAGGATATAAATGTTAGTTTTGTTTTTAGTTGTGTTTTGGGTTTTATGTTTTATGTTTTATGGGTCTGGCTCGCTCGCTCGCTCGCTACGCGAAAAGGGGAATGAAGATGGGAAGAAATGAAAGGAAAGGAATGGAAGGAAAGATAAACAAACCAATCTGTAATAGTAAGTGTCGAAGCCTCAGTAATCGTATACATAATCCCATTCTGCTCGAACTTCGTCGCCTCAGGACAATAAGTCGTCAGCGCCGTGACAATTTCAGTCGTGTAAACTATCCCATCTTTTTTATCGTCGTCGTCATTGTCATTCACATCAATATTGTAGTTGTCATTATCGCTATAGTTGATGTTGTAATTGTTGTTGATATTGGTGTTGGAATTGTAATTTTCGTTTTCGTTGGTGTTGTAATTCTGGTTTTGGTTTTGGTTCGCGTTGCCGTTGGGATTGAGATTTCCGTTGGAGGTTCCGCTGGAGGTTTCACTGCCACTACCACTACCACTGCCGGCTTGAGAGTCGGTATCGAGACCGGTGATTAGTGTGGAAAGGGGGAGAAGGAGGAATGCGAGAGTGAGGAGGGTTGGTTGATGCATTTTGGGTTCGGTGTAGAGGTGTGTTGATAAAAATTTATTATTTGTGTTTGAAGTCTGGGGGTTTGTTATCCAGAAGAGATCGAAAGTCTGGAAGCTTAAATCAACCGGGCAGAATATATTACCTTAAATTAATATTGCAAAGAGAGCTGGTTGAACGAGCAACAGGAAAATAGCTAAGAACGTCTTGGGAAACCCTATCTTCTTATGTGTTGACGGGTCAACTCGTAGGCTCTCAGCTCTTCACATGTAGTAAACTATATCAAAATATCCTCATGTATCCAGTCTCCTATCATTATCCCCCTCATTCACGCCATGAAGCTTGTTTACCGATATTTATAGCCTTGGAATGTAAAAGCACAGTCTTAGATTCGTCTTGAATCGCGGCGTTTGAGGACAGGAATGTGTATCTCGTATGATACACATTCCAGTCTACCTTGATCTCTTGGTATGTGGTTTCATGTTCGTCGACATCGCAACGACAAGTATGTGCGCCACTTCACTAAAGTGATTCTGTACAGTTGGCTGGCTCGTTTCTTCGGGACCGAAGCAATGATCGTACATAGCAGATTGAAATGAGGTGACGAGTAATACGGAGAAGACGATTTTCAGTTCACTCCAATATTCCTAGAAATGTAGATTAAACTCTTTTTGTATGGACAACTTCTTGTGGTTCTGATCACTTGAATGACCACTGAGTTGAGTCCTGACTTGCCATTTGGATACGAAAAAGCTTACGGGGACACAGGTAGATTGTAGTCAACATCAGCAAAAGATACATGCCGAATTCATCGTTATGAGTTTGCAAGAATAGACTTCTACCTATTGTGCATTTCCACGCCAAGATGATAAATCATGATTCTCTCATTACTTTGGACCTCATGCCTGGGTCTAAGAAATATACAACCGATGATATACGCCCAGATATCCGCACTCCTGCTATTCTCTGGTGTATAGTATCAACAGCAGTAGTTAACAATGGGATCACTGGACCAATTATTAACCTCAAGCTGTCAATCTTCCAAACTCCCTTGGCGAATCCTGTGATAAAATATCAACTCTATCCTAGTAACAGCAACCCAACTCTTCCATCCATCCGGGTTGATCCCATATATTCACTATCATTAGACTCTTAAAAAAACTCTCCATGGTTATCCTCCATATATTACAGTAACAACAGAAACTCATCCATCATTCCCATACGACATTCATCTAATCATGCCACAAAAACAAAACCATACAATACCCAAGAGCAACATCATCCGACGTGTCTAAACCACAAATCTACAACCAAAATCCGGGTATGAATCTAATAGTTCATTTGCGATGTCTATCCATACACTAGTATGCTACAGAAATCTACCATCAAAAACCCCTCACAAACCTTCTCCACTCCCCATCCAAAAAGTCTCAGCGCAAAATTCAATTCAAGTCCATTGTACAAGCACAACAAATTCAAATACACAAACGCAAGAAGAACAGAATGGTACACATAATGCAACACATACCCTGCCCAAAAATATTCAACCAAGGAATTACATATAAAAAAACTCTCTCATCCATACCCATCAAAGATCTCCTCATTCCATCCCTCATCACGCGTCACGCGTCACAAAACAAACACATGATGACTCAAGATTTGCATGAACCATCTTGATATCTCTCCTCGTATGAGTGAACATTCATCACGAGCGTTAATATAATCACCGAGTGCTCATATCCTATTACCTATACCCTATACCCTAACTCCTAGACACCACTACCTCCTCCGCACCATCTCCGCGAACCTTTGTAGGTAAGATTACAGTATCTATCCATTTTGTGTGTCGTGCATATGCATACAATACAATACACATAAGCTCTTCGTCATCATCTAGATACTGATCTCCTCACCCTTGTGGTATTATTAATCCTTTGTTCTCAGATCATATAGTATCACATCACACCACATCACACCACATCACACCACGCCACATCAGCATCTCCCTCCCTTCACCCACCACCTCCTCACCCATCCCACTTCCACCTCACTTCCACTTCACATCCGCCTCCCACCCGCCACTCAGCGGACTCCTCAAAAAGCAAAAGCAAAAGAACAAAACGTGCCTGCAAGCAAACCTCAACCTGACTAACAAATACACAAATACACACATCCACATATGCATATGCATATCATACACATATACATATCTCAGCAAGCCACACTGATGATTACGCAATTGTTCAGGAATCAAATCTCATCCATCCATCCATCCATCTCACACCCATCCATCTCACACCCATCCATCTCAGACTCACATAACCAGATTCACCATCTGCCCCTATCTTACATACATTACACTACACTCCACTCCACTACACTCCACTCCACTACACTCCGCTCCACCCCCGAAATCGCTGCTTATGATTTGATTCGATTTGATTCGACCTGACTTGATTATGAGATCTGGAATCTGTGAAATAGTATACAGTATACTATCTACACTTCCCACAAACCCACAAACCCCCGCACCTACGTAAGCAAAGCAAAGAAAAGAAAAGAAAAGTAATAAATCTGCAAGTATGCAAGTAAGTAAGTAAGTAAGCAAATACGCAAGTGAGTAAATAAACAAAAGCAAGCCCAAAATAATAAGCTTAAACGTAACAATTCTCCGCCTAGGCCTCCGGCTCGGAGATGAGAAGCTTGCGGTTTGCTGACTGGACTGGACTGCAGTGTGGTGTGAGAGGGAGGGGTAAGTGAGTGAGTAAGGAAGTGAATAAATAGATGGGTTGCTTAGTATTTACTCACTGGCTTACTTGGATACCTACTTGGTTGTTTGTTTGGATTGCGAGTCGCTGGTGGGATGGGATGGGATTGAGTGATTGTGGTACAATGTTTTTGAGGGTCACGATATGTTATATTATGTTATGTATAGATGGTGGATGGGTATGCAGTTAGCTTACTCTATCCGATTATTTGTTCGTTTGGTTATTTGTTTGGTAGCGATGCGATGTGGTGAGATGATGTAGAGAGAGATATGTATACACACACACACACACATATATATATCCAGTACCAGAGATAGAATGACAACAATCCCAGATATACTCGGATAGATCATCAAATACAATACCCAACTGTCTAAATACTGACACGCATCTGCACTAATCATACCTCGTCGAGCCAGACGATACCTACCTAGTGCCTGTGTAACATCTAGCTATATACGCATTGCGCCAGAAAAAATACGCAATACTAGTGCGTGTATGAGATGCTCACTTGAGAATCATTGATAGGATGAATAACGTAATCAGAAATAGATCTCCTGTCACTATCAATCTCGTCAGCATGTAACTAGTAGGTAACCATTTATCTCTTCGTCTTTCCGATTTGGGTTTCTGGTGGTATGGTACCTACCTAGGTATATATCACGGGTGTCGCATTGCGTGGCGTCGCGATTCAATACCATGGGTTGCAGTGTCATGCATACATACCTACATACTAGGTAGGTGGGTATGTACATCCATAGCTACATCCATAGATACATATAGATACATACCTACATGTATTTCAATACCCCACCTACTCTCAACAGATAGGATGAGAAAAAACAAGACGTCGAAGATATATACTCACTTCAACATTCGATATTAAATCAAATCGAATCAAATCGCACAACCAATTCTCAGAAATGCAATGTGGAAGAAAAGCAAAGTTACAAATAAGTTTTGAATCCAGTATACAATCCAGATCATTCACATCCAGGAATTAGAATGATGATTGATATCGCTACCAAGTATTAAAATACAACTACTTTCAATCTATGATTCTATCCGAGCGATTCTATTTGGTATCCCGAGTTCTCTGTCTCCGAAGCTCACCTACCTACTAGGTAACGATATCTACATATATGTGATATGATATGCCGAATACTTTCCACATGTGTTTATTGTGTGTGCTCCATATGAATATCACATGTATTCTGCCTGATACTCGGATAAATAGCCACGAGGTAGGCGCGTACAAATGTACTGTAGATACATACGATACAGGCGTATCCAAGATATGGAAAGGGTGGCAAAAACGATGAATGCATGGTACTTACAATTTGCCATGCGAATACAACGATCCGGGAATATGTTTTAGGAAGGAGAGTGAGTGAGTGAGTGAGTGAGTGTAGGGTTGTTAATTTGGGAGGTATTTTGATACATGTAAATGTCAATAGTCCTATCGATATCGTATCTTGTTAATGGAATGATGCGGTGAGGAGAGAGGTAGGATTGGACATCCAGAATAGATGAATAAATCAAAGTATCTTTCTCTCCTCATCCAGGAGCCCCGAGTTTGACGCGATTGAGAAAGGGGAAATGAGACGAGATTCCTTTTTCTGCGTACGGTACTACTGTACTAGGAATCCATACAATGCAGGATTAAGTGTCCCTACCTCAACATCGCTTGTGTGAGATGACTGTGAGAGGACTCAAAACATCCATATTTGAGTTGAGACTAAGTCGTGGTCTGTACTTAGTACACATCGTATCGCCTGACGTTCGGGTATTACCGTCGGTATAGACTGACACCTAGAACGAGAAATCCCAAACATCTGCCGATGGCGTTGTCGCCTTGCTAGGATTTTGAACGGTGACGAAACCAAAAAGTATTTTTGGTGCATTTTGGGGGGACGAAGCTTCAGCCAGCCTGACAACATTTTTCCTTTTGAACCAAATTTTTGATTCAGATGAAACCGCATCCTAGGCAGAGAGAGATCATGGAAGACACGTAGAATATTGAATGCCTGTCCAAAGAAGTTTAGGATTAATGAATCAATGAGTTAACGAGAGACTTACTACCAAGTTACTAGGTAGGAGGATTATTATTCTCCGATGATTATAAAATTTGATGGGGGAATGATTACAAAACAAGTGACAAGACAAGCAAGGATTCAAAAGAAATGTTCCATGCTTCTAGAAAGCTTCTAGAAGCTTTCTAGAAAATCTTACGACTTTGAAACCTATCTTGCAAT